CCATCTTTAGCTCTATGTCCTGTCTAATCTGATTCGGAAGATTTGGTTTGCTCCAGAATGAGCGTGGACCGTTGTGGCCTATGCTAGCTGCGCTGTAAAGAGTGAAAACACGTGCATGAACAGGTTTAGGTTTAGGTTTAGGTAGAGGTGGCTTGATCTTGTCTTGCGAATGGCCTGTCTTTTGGCAGATGTTTTCGGAGTTCTGGGCGAACACTCGCCACTTCTTTCTGGATGAGTTGTCCCCTTCCGTTACCACCGTGGGCGGTGGAGGATTGGAGTGTTGGAGGCTTGTTTGAGGTGGTGGTTCCACGGTATTGGGTCCATGCCGTACCTTCTTTAACTGATTATTATTTGAAAAGGGGTGGACATTGTCATCTCTGGTGAACAGTAACTCAGCAGAGGGTGGACGGCTGGAACTCGATGCAGGTATATCTCCTCTGTGACTACAGCTCGTCTTTTCTGGAGCGCCTTGTTCCGTCCGACTCCCAGATAAACAGCTTTTGACGGGTAAGCCGTCTCCACTACCGGGGGGCTGATGAGCATGCAGAGCACCAGGAGTAGGTGTAGGCTTGCCGCCGCTTTCTTTCTTCTCTTGCTTTTTCAACTGTGTACAACCTCTAATCTGGCTCAGGAGGGTCGACCTATTCATGCAAGGCTTTAGACCTGCGTGTCCTCCACTAGGTGGTGGAGGTACACTAATGGCATGGTCCTCCTTCAACGAGACATTCTTCTTGATCAGACTCGGATGTAGTAACGTGTTCATTGGTAAGGGTGGATGGCTGCCATATCCACTAGAAATCCTGGAGGGTATGAGGGCAAGAGGTGAATGTTTACTTATCAGCGGAGGGGCACCGGCACCAATATTAATTGGATGCCCCTCTGTGATCGGTGTGAGCTGTGGCCTTTTGATTTCGCTTGAAACCTTAGATGACAGAAGAGAAGAATCAGGGAGAGGAGGAGGAAGAGGAGGCGGAGGTGGAGGCGGAGGCAAACACTTCTCATTTTTTACTTGGTTGACCTTTGTGATCTGATTCTGTATTGTCTGTGGAGTCTCTGGTAAGGGGAGACACCAGGTCCCTAAAGCAGCATATGCAGACGGGTGAAAATCGGTCGGCGCGGGTTCAAAAGGTGGGGAAGAATGAGGAGGTGGCGTCACGGTGTTTGAGACCTGAAATGTTGGCGGCGGCGGCGGTGGCGGAGGAAGGCGCGCTCGATTTGGACGTGGAGGCCTTAGTGCAGTGGACCGGCTGGATTTCGGTCCAGTGAGGGTTAGTGGTGGGGTGTGTTCTTTAACCAAGGGTGGGGGAGTTTGGTTCAGTGGCTTATGTTGAACAGGTTCTACGTCTCGAGTCTTCTCATTCAAGTTGACGACATCTTTGGTCGTTTCCGGTTCCTTCAGTTGAGACATGCAACTGTAATATTTGTCCAGAACGTGCATTTGTTTCTCGTCCAGGTTTCTGAGATCAGAGTGTTGGTCAAACTTCGATTCCAT